CGGGGGGCGGCGCCCTCCCGCCGCAGCCGCAGTGGCCGGCGCCGCAGCGAGGAGCCATGGGCAACATCTCCTCCAACATCTCGGCCTTCCAGTCCCTGCACATCGTCATGCTGGGCTTGGACTCGGCCGGCAAGACCACGGTGCTCTACCGGCTCAAGTTCAACGAGTTCGTGAACACGGTGCCCACCATCGGCTTCAATACGGAGAAGATCAAGCTGAGCAACGGCACGGCCAAGGGCATCAGCTGCCACTTCTGGGACGTAGGAGGCCAGGAGAAGCTGAGGCCGCTGTGGAAGTCCTACAGCCGCTGCACGGACGGCATCATCTACGTGGTGGACTCGGTGGACGTGGACCGGCTGGAGGAGGCCAAGACGGAGCTGCACAAGGTGACCAAGTTCGCCGAGAACCAGGGCACGCCGCTGCTGGTCATCGCCAACAAGCAGGACCTGCCCAAGTCGCTGCCGGTGGCCGAGATCGAGAAGCAGCTGGCGCTGCACGAGCTCATCCCGGCCACCACCTACCACGTCCAGCCAGCGTGCGCCATCATCGGCGAGGGCCTCACCGAGGGCATGGACAAGCTCTATGAAATGATCCTGAAACGCAGGAAGTCCCTCAAGCAGAAGAAGAAGCGGTAATACGCCTGGCAGGGTTCGGGAGCTAGGGGGAGCAAGCCAGGGAGCGAACGAGTCAGGAGTGAATGAATGGATAGATGGGTGAGCGAGAACCCGCGCCCGCGAACAAAGACAGCGAACCAAAGCGATGCTTCGAATTTTTTAAACTCTATCTCTGTACCCAAATGCAGAACTGGTGACTTAACCTGGCCTGGAGCTGATTTATCAGCCAGCTCGCCATCTGCCCCACCCCCACGCCAGCTCTGGGGACCTTTTGTCTGAGCACCGGAGATACCTAGTGGGTGGGGGACCGGTGGGGTGTGGACCTTCAGTTCAGGCTTGTGCGCCCTCCGGCCCCAGGAGAAGAATCAGATGTCAGAGACAAGGCGATTTCATGATTTCTTCTTACTCCACTGGGCCGGGAGTTCAGGCTGCCCCGCCCCCATTGGGGGATCACCTGTGAGTTACCTGAGGTATGCAGTTCCCAGAACCCTGGGGGGCACCCATCTGGAGGCAGGGTGGCATTGGGGGTGGCGGTGCTGGGGAGATGAAATGCCCCTTGCATTCAGGGGCTTGGAAGCTGAATAATTTTATGTCACAGGGCAGGCCCCTGTTGAAATTTCATAGGTCCTGCTCTGGGCCCAGAGGAGGTGGTGGTTTGGGCCATCAGGACTGCCTGGGACAATGCGGCAGCTGGAGGGCACGGGGCGCTGTGCTGCTGGCCTTGGCTGGGAATGGCCGAGAAGATGCCCCCTTCATGGGGCTTTGTGGTGGCTACAGGAGACCGGTTTTGTTGAGAACTGCTTTTCAGCCTGGAATGAGACCTCTTCCAGATGGCTTGGACCCTGTCCATGTGTAGGTCATTATCACACAAAGAGACCAATAAAAATTTAAAAAAAATAAGAAACTGTTCGAGGTGGTGGCAAATGATGCATTTACTGTTTGCAGGTTAGTTAAAGGTGTTCAAAGGGCAATGCTCTTGGCATAAATCTGGATGGTGTGCGTGTGAGAGAGAGTATACAGGGACCTCCCTCTGTATTGTGTAATCAGCATAAATATCTAGATCCATTCTGTGTGGAATTTTAAATTCTCTGAATCTACCGATTGGTTTGGATGAGCATACCAGCTACAGATGTGTGCTGAGTTGCAAGATGGTTTTTCTGCAAGGGATGTCTCTTGTAATACTAACCGTGTGGTAATGGGTTTTCAGACATGTTTTTAAAAATAACTTACAAATGAATACTCACCTTAGAAATATTCACCTTAGGAAAAAAGACTTTGCTCTGCCCTTTTATATCCCTTGACGCTGCAAGTGGCGACATGTTCAGATTTCTAATTTGGTTCATTGTGGCCTATCTGGTTTAAGTATTTCATTCAGAACATCTCATTAGAGTATTTGATGTCATGCACCAAAAATAAAACCCCACCTTTTTGCAAAAAACGACCTCGTTGCATGGATTTAAAAGCGGAGGAAAAGCTAAGGATGTAGTCCTTCTCCATTCATTCTCTAACTGGCCTTGTAGCCAGCAGGCACTTTGGGCAAATGCAAACAAGGGGTGCTTGAGATAAAAGAAAGCCTGTGACGTAATGGTCACTGCTGCTCAGGCACTTCACAGTTTACTTGAAAGAAGCTTTGGAAAATAAAGTGAAAGAAGAAGAAATGCATATTTTTAATAACGTAATTTTAAAAATCCTTTATAATCAGGACTGAGTCTTGGTTTGCACAACCTGTCGTATCCTGAAACACAGTATCAAAAGGGAAACTTAACAATTGACTGTTTGATTTTTATTTCCTCCCTGAATCCATGTTTTCAGGTAGAATTTTGACATGCCCCTCCCCCCAGTGACATGTTTCTTTGCAAAGGAGGCCTGTAGAAATTGGATGTGGCCATGCGTGAGCATGTGGGTTAGCCCTTGCCCATTGTCCATTACCCTCCGAGTGGCGATGTGAGAACCAGAGGCAGATGTCTGGCTTCCTGCTTCAAACCCAGTTCTTACAGGAGATTTTTTTAAAGACAGAAATCTAGCAGCCCATCTTCCCTTCCTCTTTGGTCAGTGTATTTGGTACCCTTCTAATGCTGGTCTTTTGTAGAAACTCAGTAGAGAAAATAGAGCTAAGCAGTGATGAAAGCCTGCGAGATTTCAGTTTACATATCGATAGCATATCCACTGACTTCTGAATGGGCTGGTCCCATCATCTGAAGATTCTGTATAGAATTATTAAAATCAAATCCATCTTCCTTTATTTTCTTCACATGTAACAATTTCTTAAGCACTTTTTAGTAGTTCCACACTATTGAGAGAATAATATATTTATTTTGCGACTTTGCAGATGCCAAATACTGTCACCTTCTCGTGCTGACCATACCTAGGTTCCAGGTCACTGTTCAAATCCTGTAATGCTTTAACAATCGTGCGAGATGGTTTTGTTTTTTGCATTATCAATACTTAAGGGTGCCGTCAGCTGTTAGTAATTGTGCAGTAAAGTCAAGCCCTGTGCTGTATCAACTAATAGGTAAGAGTCTCAGTTGATTTCTGTAACGTTTGACCTATTAGTAGCCCTTTTCATCTCTGACCCAACGGAGGAAGCACAGATGAAGTCACCTAGGAGTGGTCACCCAGGGGGAGTCCCCTCCGCGTATCAGTCAGCGGTCCATTATGCCTTTTGCCCTTTAGAGATGGAATGGGCTTCTCGTAGAGGAAGCTGGTCTCCCCGAATGAGCTTTGAAATGTTTCCTGGTAGACACAGGGAGGCCACTTTTATTTCAGAACAATGCTCTTCACAAATTCTCTGTTATGGTGTTGGGACTGTGTCCCCTGGTTTCAGTTTTCATTTCTCTGCTGTAATTCTCTGTCTTGATCTTTCTTTGTTTCCATCCCTTTTTATAATGCATATATGATGCTGTGAACAGAAATAAATTATTTATACAATCAAACAACTGGGGACATTTTCTGTGGATGGTTTTTCAAATTGCTGTGTTCATTCTCCAGGCCTCTGCCGGGCAAGGATATGGGTTGCAAGATGGTGTCTGGGGTTCCAGCAGGGTGCAGGGCCGGGTCCGTCACCTGCTCTGTTGGTGTGAGTGTCTGGATCCACCTGAATGGTGGTGGTAGAGGCTCATGCAGGAGCCCATGTATCCTCCACTCCCTCTGGAGAGCCCACCTGTTGGAGCATCTCTGGCATCTCAGAGCCGGGCCCGTCTCACCTCCTTTAAGAGATGACCAGTTCCTGGCCCACTCTCATTCATAACAAAATCCTGAATTGTTAATTCCTTCAAAAACATTATCTGATTGCATAAAACTCAAAATAGCATTGCATAAATCTAAGGGCACTAGTGAGGACAAAGCTTCTGAGTATCTAAACTATGTCTTGGCTCAGTGTCAGGCACACGGGCACCCATCAGCAGCACTCCAAGACTTGAGACCTCTTTAGTAGTCGGTATGGTGAGACCCTGGTGCTCTGTGGATGCTGTTGGGAACTGGCACACTTTCTAAGGGAAAGAGTGGTGGGCCAGTGTGGGTAGCAGGTGCAATGGGGAGTTCTCGGGGCACTTGCAGGGATTAAGCCATACACTCAATGGTTACTAGGTGACAGTGAAGACCCCAGGTGTCCTCTTACATCTGGAATCCAAATGACCAACTCTAAATACTGGCTCCAGAGCTTGGCTCCCCATGACTTTGTTCAAGTTCCTTAACCACCCAGTCTCCCTTTCCCCATATGTAAAGCAGGATCATAATGGTACCTGAGAGAATGCTGGGGGTTGAAGCACAGTCAGACGGGCGACGGTCTGAGCCCAGGGCCTGCCCAGAGCCAGGCCTTGGAAGCTTTAGCTGTTCATGCTCCTGGTCACGAGCAATATGTTGTATGGATACATGGTGATTTCACCTGGCCCTGGCCATCAAGTTAGGTGGTCACGGTCTCCCTTTTGGTACCCTCTACCTGCCAGAAGCAAGGCTGCAGTCCCAACAGAATCTCTGGCCCTCCCTGTGGCCTCAGCAAGTGAAAGGCTACGCCAGGTGCAGGCAGCTCTCCAGACTCTTGAAGCCATTGCTTTTCCTACTCCCTAAGTCGCTAGGCTGTGACACTCAAGGCAAGGAGTGAGTTGGTCCCCTTCTGCTACTGTGCAGAGCATAAGGTTAAGCACAGAGTGGGTGCTCTCTAAACATTGGTCAAGTGGCTTAATGTGGATTGGTTTTCCTTGTAAACTCTAACATGTGCGCTATGTAAAATAAATGGTTATTTCCCGTTAAAGATTTAAATTAAAATGAAAATAGAAAAATATGAGTATCATTCTTCCAGGTCACTATTGTAAGGTGAACCCCTGCACAAGGATTATATTACATTATGATAAATATGTATGTGGGTTAGAAGCTTTTTTTTTTTTTTGTGAGTCTGGAATAACAAGTCTTGCAAAAAATGAGCAAGACTTGACTTGATCATTCATGTTACATTGAAGCTAGTTATTAGCAGCACATCACATCAAAAGAGCACAAATGCCATTTTTAAGCACTAAAAAACCCCGAAACTGGTGAGAAAGCTATTTAGAGACCATCATGACATCACATGGGTAAAAAAAAATATTGGCAATCATGGGGCCGGAGTTGTGGCTCAGCGCTAGAGCGCTTACCTAGCATGTGTGAGGCACGGTTCTATCCTCAGCAGCACATAAAAATAAATAAATAAAATAAAGATATTATGTCCATCCACAACTAAAAAAGTATTTTAAAAAATATTGGAAATCACAATAAGCAAAGATTGAAACCCTTAATTTATGCAATCTTAATCTAACCTCGATGTAACAGATTTCTGGGGATCCAAGGGTGGTAATTTCTCATCCTATATTTTCCAGAACAGTGAGGCAGATGGCCCCTCACTGTGACCTCCAGGCACTGAGGGGCTGATTTTAGTCATAACTGCTGCATTTCCCCGAACCTTTCCCCCGAGGTTCTGATTGTTCACGTATAAGGTTGTGGATGGACACGGACGACCAACCGCCCTATTCTTCTGGGCCTTGGCACTTGTCTCCAGAGCTTGGGCTCTTGAAACGCTCCGTTGCCAGTGTTTCAGACGGGTTGGACATCATGGTCACGTGGTGGAGCAAAGCCCAGCACCTGACAACCCTGGACTTAACAGTTTCTTCCAGGCTGCAAGTCACCTCTCTC